TGAAGACTGTGTTCTTTTCTTGACACGGGTACCCCTCCAGCTCTTCCAAGTACTGCTTGATCTCCAGCAAAGCGTTAAGGTATGCGGTATTGACGTCTCCTTGATAGATAATCAACTCCAGGTAAATGCTCAGTGCAACAAACAGTCGGAATGTAGCCATTCGGGCTACAGGCGAGAAAGTCTCCACATAGTCCAGTCCTGGACGTTGCTTGTCACCTCTACCAACAATACGAGCTCGAAACCTTGTCACGTAGCCGAGATGGTCACTTTTCACATCGTAGACCCACCTGGTCATCAGTGCTCGCTGGCCTTGTGGCATCTCGTTGCGAGGAATTTTCTTCAATACCTCCTTGTCACTCAAAACTGCGATCTCTTGATCCATGGCTGCACGCCACTCCTTAGCAAATTTCGATCTCATGGCTTCACGGTAGTTGCGTGGAATCTTGACTTCATTAACGCGAATTCCAGCTTTTCCGCGCCGATCAACGTGCAGTGCCCTTATTGCTGAGTAGACCTGATAGTCTTCGAACCGTTTCGGTGCACATCGTTCGTGTGCTTCACGCAATCCAAGCCGGCGTGCCGGGCCTGGGTCTCTTCTAGCCCGTTTCGCGTCAACCTTTGCACGTTTTGGCTCCCTGGTACGTTTGTCTTTTTCATCACGAAGTCTTCTTCGGCCTATCAGAAGGTCGCCGGTCAGTGCGAGTTCTCCAGCTTCTCGTTCGTCAGCAGGATCGAGTAAATAGTCGTAGCCATAGTCATTCACTTCTCTGTCTGCATCAACCTCCGCCACTTCAAGATCCGTCACATGACTAACTGCTTCGTACTCGTCGTCATCCAAATCGCTATTACTGTCTTCTTCAAGCTGTACCATGCCACTCTCGGTTTCTGCATCTTTCTCGAGATTGTCTTCTTCACTGGACTCTGTGCATTCCTCTATAGCGTCAAGCTCGACGTCAACATCAGTACATGTATCTCCTGCAGAGACATTTACTTCATCTTCATCTGCATAGTCCACGCCTTGTCCGTCTTCTGCCGGCACTTCTTCGCCTGCACCGCAGTCATCCGACTCGATTACTTTGCCGTCGACACTTCCACCCTCCTGCGTTCCTTGGAGCGCTACATCTTCGTAGTCGGGCAGTGAGTCGTCTGAACCAGCAACAATGGTTGCTAACGGTGAGCTATTTTTCACTATATCATCCCACAGCTGCTTCTCATCACTTGAAATGCTGGCAGACTCCACTGCATCAGCATCTTCCATCGTAACGTTGCTCGACTGAGCACTTCGTACTGATTCAGCATCGCATTCAGCGTCCTGGGATGAGACATCGTCGTCCACCAGGTTATCAAGCTCTCCGTGCTCAATAAATTCGTTGAAAGTCTGTAGCCACTTGTCAACCTTCATACGGAAGCCCTTCGAATAGCGATCACAGTATTTAATCTTTTCGTTGATCTTCACGTCAGACACGAATCCGCGCTTGTGTTCCGTAGGAAAGTAGACTTGACAACCGACAACATCCTCGCTGTAGCCAATCAAGTATCCAATGCGACAGTTCATTGCCATTTTCTTTCTCTTTGACGTTGGAGTGTGGCAGTACGTGAGAGATCCGAAAGCACGGATGTGGTGTATGTCTGGTTTCGAACCAAACATTAACTCGTAAGGAGTCCTCCCAGCACCCTTGCAAAACACCCTGTTCTTCACGTAAACAGCCGTCTCTAGTGCATGCGTCCAAAACGAGGGCGGTAGACCAGACTGGTGCATCATGGACTTCACCATTCCCATCAAGGTTTGGTGTGTTCGCTCGACAGGATTCAACTGTGACGCGTTTGGCCCCACTTTGATATGCACGATTCCTTTCTTCTTGTACCATTTTTCCATATCTCCATTACAGAACTCTTGTCCCTTATCCGTAAGGACCTGTCGTACTGGATCAGCACACTCCTCAGAGTCTCCAGTGTCTATGACACGAGTCACCACTCGGTCAACACGACTGCCATGTTGGCGTTCTGCCCACGCGATGTACTCTTGCATCCGTGGGTTCACTTCGTTTTCATCACGGGATTTCAGAAGGTACGTCTTCACAAAACGTGAATAGCCGTCCATTATGACCAGTACTGCTTTGTAGTGTGTTCCATTTTGCAGTCCCGGGAT